ACTCTTATAGCCCAACTTAGTTCGCTTAATAATACATCTCATAATTAGGCCAGATATCCCATGCATTCAGAAAAGTTAAATGGATGCAGATGAAGCGTGAAGTTAATGAAAATGTAACCAAAGGGTTGCATCCATTACTAAATCACTGTCTAACATTTAGCCCAGACGATCTAAGTTTTCGGCAGTCCATGAGATTATATTTAAGGGTTTCTATAGAGTACTTACCGATAACCATATATCTTAAAGCGTCATCTAGTAAGATACAAAGAAGTAACAGTGCTAAGGGAAGATAAACGAGGAGCAGTAGAGGTCATGGATAAGATTAACTATGTAGAAAAGATGATGCAGGTCATTAATAAGGACTCTAAACAAACCCTGAAGTTTAGACTTAGGGCCTACTTGCAACATTGTATGCCAAACGGGGAATTGGAGAGGTAAAAAATAAACAAGCTTCTTCAACAAGATGCCAGATTCCAGAATGCATAAGGTCTGCCCAAAAAGATAAGGAAGCAGTTCCAATAAAAATTATTGTCAATAATAACGGTTAATTGATGCATACAACATAAAGAATTATCTGTTAAAATATAAAATAAATGTCAAAGGCATGACAGTTTTTAATAATGAATAAATATTAATTCGTTTAGCTAGTCGATGAGCAGAGGGTAGAGGGTGAGTATTAGTTATAATGTATGATCGATGTAAACTAATATTGCTGTAAGCGGAGCTACCCATGCTGTATAATTAACATTAACTTAGCACATAAATGTTTTGAGGAGGATAAACATATGCAAGAAGTAAGTAATGATGTTTACAAATATAGTAACGATTTTTATGTATCTTAGTGTTTGTCTGACTTCGTTTTCGCAATTTGGTAACAATTACAGGAAGGCTTTGAAAAATAAGCCTAGCTAGATACCTTTCTAGCCTTGGTGCTCGGTGAATTATGGTAAAGCATGCTGCTCTGCTTTGACAGTGTCTGTCACATGACGAAATAAAGCTCAGCAGTGAAACCATCGGAGTTGTGGGATTGTGAGCCAAGGAGTTATTAGCACAAATCTGAAGTCACAGCTACAAGACCAACTACTGATTTTCGTCAATTTGATCTTTTAGACAAAATGAAAGTCAATTTGACATTGTTCTGCTACAATTATTCGATCTGTATAGTAAATATGAGGGCAACAGCCTTTATTTTCTGTAGAAGTCATGATAAAATTGATTACTTAATTTTAAGATGTGCCGGATAATTGGATAAACATGGTTGATTATGAAACAGAAACAGTGGTGAAAAAGCGTTTTCCGATCAAAAGTAGTTCGCACTATACACTCCGTTTGTGATGTAGTGATCTAGCCCTACATTTTTGTCATTCAATGCTTACTTTTGTTGGAGCTGAAATTTGGGATGAGAGATATAGTAGAATATGTACACAGCCCAAGTAGCCGAATCAAGCCTACTTAAAAATGACCCCTCAGAGAGACTTTTATTGGGACAAAGATCTAGTTATGCGGATTAACAATCGCAGGTATCATGTCGAGCAAGGAATTTTGAGCTTAGAATCTGTTTTCTAGTAACAGGATAGTCTTCATTTGAAAAACTTTGTAGGGAACTAAGGTTTATCATTAACTAGCAGTTTGCTTAATTTTCTCTTCTTATTCTGTATTTTTCCTGTGTTTGTTCTTAGATAGACTGTTTTGGCCCAACTGATATGCAAAAATAATCGTATACATCTTACGTTTATGGATAAATCGAATCAAAAACTCTAGTAATATCAGGCAAATAGGAGGTTAATCGTTTTATTTTTCGCCTTTATTGGGTCTTATCCAAGAAATTTGATTACTTTTTTCTCTTTCATATACCGTTCAAGTTTCCGAAAAGTTTCGCAAGTCGCCATGAGACAAGACGCATCAAATTAGCAGGAAACAGAAATGCGGGAATAAAAACTAAGAGACGAATTAAAAGCTTACTTTTAATTTAAGGAAAACTGATACTGGTGTGATGAAATTTAAAAAATTGAATGGAAAAATCGAGTTTAACTATTAGTGCCGACTTCACACAAAAAAGTATCACATAATTTAAGAAAGCTACTACTACTACTTTATTAGATTACAAGAAGCTAATTCAAAGGGGTAACGAAAGATGAAAGAAAAAGCTCTTTAATGATGTAAATTACGCGGAATAAGACAATAGATTTCACAAAAATAAGGAATATTTCAATAGGAAAACTTCAGCTTCCCACAAGTAAGAGAAAACCATGAATAGGAAATCTACCTTGAGTCCCACATAATAAAGACAATCATCTAGACGACGCTTTCTAGAGGCCCATGCCTCAAGAACGACTTGCTCGCGTGCCATTAGCTCTGGCATTACCACGCGAATTCGTTCCTCGACGAAAGTTCGCCCAACAGTGATGGATGGTTGTCGATGCATGTATTTAATAAATAGATCTGAAGTTCGCCTACACAATGATAAAAAGCCAAAAAGGATGAAAATAAGTGAGATATAATAAATTAAGAAATTTAAATTCCTGTCACACGATGCACAAACAATAATTAAAAATAAACACAAAATTAAATTTTCATAAAGGGTCTGAGTCTAGATGGGTCCTGAGTAAACGAAGAAAAGTAACTTTAAAATCAACAGCACAGATTTGCTCTAGAAAACTTAATAGTATTATTCAATATCAGCAATTAGACATAAGAAAATATGAGCCTGCTAATTGAGCTACCAAGTCTTAAAAAGTAAAGTTTCATTGTACCAATAAAATTCACATCCACGAGATATTTCAACATAAAAGGAAGCCCAGGTTAAACCATGTCTAGGCGAAAAAAGTTAAGATGTGAAATGTGCAAAATAAAGTTAAACGTGATAACAATCATTTAGATACATATAGAAAACGAAAATACACAGACAGGAGTTTATCGCTAACCTGGCAAGGATGCAGGCTTTCAAGAAGCCCTCCTTTTGCTCACAATGTTTCGCTAATGTATTTGTTAAGTACTCCTGGCGTCCTGTGGCTGGGTTCAGAGCACCCGCTTCGTTTGCCTTTTCCGTTTGACAGTCATCCTCATCGCGACGGTAGTCACGTTCCAAAGAGCGGAGCACAGAACTTACTTGATCTGCTGTCTTGTACCTTCAGTTAATATAATATGAGAAAAAAGTATGTATTCCAAATAAGAATACGAACATAACAAAATAAAACTACTTCTACCCATAAGATACAATTATTTTAGGGAAGATAGTGCAAAAATTAAAATTAATAAAGTATAGTGTTGGTTGGACCTACCTTCCGCAACTTGGTCACAGCGTCAGGAAGAACTTGTGGAACGTACCTAGTCTTGTGTCCTCTGCCATAATATCCGTGATTGAGAAATTTGGACAATTGATTTGGTACATTGCTAGGCGTTTAGCCGGCATTGTCAGTGAGAGGCGCTATCGTCAACACAGAGTTACAACTTAGCAGTGACAACTAAAGCCAAATTTGACCTAATCAATTTGACTTGATCAATTTTCAGTTCAGCCGCCTGTCCTCATTTGTCACTTCGATAAGTTTTAACTCTGTGGTAATTATGACGCCTCTCACTAATCATAACTATGGAACGTTTAAGAATGGTCTGATGCTGTAAATCATGAATAATATGGCAGAGGAAGCAGGTAGGGGCCAAAAGGTCTTCCTGACGGTGCAACAAAGTTGCGAAAACAGTCGAACAAATAATATCAAGCTAAGGGAGACTGTGAGCTATCAGAAGGCCTTCATATTCTACAAATATATCAAGATAAAAGCAGTCAATATAACCTAAATTATGCGAAGAAAAGTGGGGTTTCGAGGAATCTCTTGTTTTCATTTCGAGTGGAAGTGTTGGGTGAAGAGATTCGAAGCTCGGTTTCACTAAAAGTCTACGGCGGATTCCTCTTGACCAGCTGTCGATTGGCTTTACTGGAAGATTCATGCTGACTTTGTTTTAAAGGGAAACTTCTTCGATTCCGGTAAAAAGGTGCTAAGCTTTCGTCCGTCATATGACGGACATCATTAGAGCGAGGTAACATAGTCACAACAAAATTCAAGCTAACGAATCAAGAAAGCTCAGCGGCAAATCCCTAAAAATTGGCATATATACTCTACATCTGGCCTCTTTGATCAAGTATAAATTAATTTGGTTAGTTAAGGTCATATGTCAACTTCGATACATGTGAGTGCGTCTCTTTCTATTTGTATTTGCCTGTTTGTGTTCGCTTATGCACGAAGCCCGAAATGATGGCTCAAAGTAATTAGGACAACAAGGACGTCTGTTTTTGGCCATTAAGGTTTGATGACCCCTATCTCTCCCCTTCTACATTTAGGCTATAACCATCACTCCGATTGCGCAAAGTCGGACAACGTCTGGTTTTGTTGATGAGCCTATTTATTTTGTTTTTGGTCTCAATGCGAGAGATAAACAGTGAGCTAAACGTACAGAGAAGTGACTATAATAATAAGCAAAAAGAAGAAAAGACTAGTTGCGTCGCCTCCTTTTTGCAGGTGGCTCAACTCCCTCTCTATCCTTCAGTCTGTTAATTAAGCACAAATAGATTTTATTTATTTTCTTGCCGGTATTCCTTACATTCAAGGTATTTCCTATTCTGTTTATTTCTATGGCTT